TTGGTTTTTTCTTTCTCCCTCTCCCTTCTTATTCTGAGGTTCCCCTTTTTTCTCTCCCCTCAAAATCCTCTCATCTGAGGAAGTGGGTTTTGCCCACCACAGCTCATGATACTATGTTGGTCCCTAAGGTGCCACAGGACTACTCGTATGTGAGTCAAGTTACTCATATCCTTGTGTGGTATGTACCTGAGGGAAAGGACAGACTCAGAAGCTGGAAAAACTTCCTGCTAGGAAGAGCTTGTGGAATAGTCAGCGAGGCTGAGGAGGAAGCCCCATTGCTGGGACACTGAAGACTTGTCAGAGCTGGGCAAATGAGCTACAGAGAGCCAGCCTGCATTGACACAGGAAAGGACTGAGGACACGGCCTGGAACTCCCCCTCAAAGGCTGCCGAGATCCGACTAGCTACCCTCACATTCCGCCTTACCACTATGTACCTTTGTCATGCCCATAAGCACACCCAGGGGTTCAGCCCTTTGAAATCCTTGTCTCACCTAGCCTAGCTGGGTCTGGCTCCCCACTTAGCACTGTTGGATGAGCAAGGAGGTTGAAAAACCCCTCTGTGCCACATCAGTTATCAAGCTGTTACCCACCGACTTGCAAAGCAAAAGCACCTACCTCCTTAACTCAAACCCACCACAGCGCCCACCACCCAAACCCAGCTCCAGTCTACCAGGGTTAGCTCCTGGTGGGCCCCCAGACTCTGCTGTGTGTTTGATTGTCAGTGGTGCCCTGAGGGCACATGTCCACCACTGCTTAGGTTACTCTCACTTACGCCACTCAGAGGTGTGAAAAAGACACCCCATCCCCCGAGGAATACAAGTGTCAATGCCCTAACTGCTGTCCATACCGACTCTATCTTGGCAGAAGATGTTCTCCCACTGAAAAAGCATCTGCTTCTCGTGCACCCCTCACCTGACATGCTGCACCGTTGCAGCTACTCTGATGTAGCGCATACTGAGCAGCCCTGATGCTTCCTCCCTTACTGGTCAGAGCCCCGGCTGACTCAGCTGTCATGCTGGTACAGCGATTTGGCATGGTGAAGCACCGAGTAAGTGCTATGTAGTATTAGTAGCATATGCATCTGTTCCCATGGGAACTGCTAAGGCATAACCATTTTGTGATGAAATCAAAGAGGGACTGGACTTGTGAGTAATCATTCTTCTGAGCCAGAAAGCATTTGGTTTACTTGTCCGCCCCCTCTACTCCGTGGGTTTGGAGGAGGTGTGTGGGAGTGAACATGAAGTTATTGAGCGCAAAAAAAAAAATCCCATATGTATATGCTTTTGTGGGCTATAACCTACTACATCAGATGCATGCACCTGATGAATTGGGCTCCAGCCTACAAAAGCTCATGCCCTGATACGTTTGTTAGTCTGCTTCAGCAAAAACAATGAGGAATCCTGTGGCACCTTAAAGACTAAGGCCCAGTATACACTCATAGGGAAAGTCGAAGCAAGATACCAGTTATGTTAATTACATAGGTGGAGTTGACGTGCCTTGTTTTTGTGTTTCCCCGCCATCCCCATGGTGGGATGCCAATGGGAGCAAATGCTCCCCTTGGCCTCCCTTACTTGTTGCACAAGCAGGAATACTGGCAGCTGGCCGGGGTGCCCTCTGAGTTTGATTTAGCGAGTCTTAACTAGATCCGCTAAATCAAACTCCAGAAGATTGATTATGTAAGCAGTGATCTTCCGTTTAGTGTGGACATGGCCTAACACGGTTAGCCCTCTGAAACGTCCCACATGTTTATGTTTATCTTATAAGCCTCTTCAATGGGAAACTTTAACATATTTTGGCAGGAGCAGGCCTAACAAAAACTGGTTATCAGATGTATTTTAATGAAAGAAAATTGCAGCTGCAAGATCCTTCCTTTTGTTGTAGAAACTTCCATAGACCTGTGGAGGAATTCAGTTTCCCACAGCCCATCTGTGCCCGATCTCCTCTCCTTTTTTCCTACCACGATTCTCATGCCTCCACTGGCTTTGTACCATCACATTGTTCCTTTAGTCTGAGGAATTTACTGACGTACATTGATAGCAAGATGCTGGCTCCTTTGCGACCCCTGAATGCAGCAGACGCTCTGGTTGGCTTCATCAACTGAGAAATGCTTTCTTGACCCTCCGTTGTCACCTCCTTGCCAGAGTCCATCCTAGGGAGGTTAGTAAGACTGTCTGTTTAGACTGACTCAATACTAGATTCCCTCTTAGAAAATCGCAGCAAAGAACTACAGCAAAGATGGCGCCATGTTTGCTCACTTGCCATCCATCACTTTTAAATTTATGGAGTTTCCTTTTTTTAATAATAAAATGTGCCAACCGTAGCGTACATTTTAAATAACATTTTTTAAATATTTTCTGGTAAATTAAAGTGGTGACATGTTTGTAGGGTTCATTGTTAATTTCATTTCCTTTTTTGCTCAGCCAACCAGATAAAATGCAAAGTCATTAATCTTTGTTTAAGCGAAGATCCTTTGCTGAACAGTAATGAATGATCTTGATAGATTTGTCAGGAAAATGAATGATAATCATTTGCTGATAGACACAAGCATAGTAGGGATGATAAATAAGAAAACATGTATTGGCATCATTAATAATGTCTCCTGCCAATGGCCTTGAATATCAATTACAATTCTGAATGCAATGTAGTCCTGTTAGACTCTTGCCATTTATCACCGGCTCTGAGCAACAAGGACGTACGACTCCTTACACTGCAGACAAGTTATTCCCTGAGAAATGCTGGCACGGAAGATAAAAACATTGCCTATTTGGGAGTGGATCGGGGTGTGTTTCTGTCTTCTCTCCTTCTTAGCCATTCCTCTGCTCCCATGCCACTTCAGCCTCTTACACACAAAGGTCCACTTGTCTTCATCTCTGCATTGCAGCAGTTCCCTGTTAATCTGGGCACCATTCTGCAAACCCACGACTGCTTGGGCTAACTCTACGACTAATGTAAATCCCCATAGCGCCTTTGACTTTAGTGGAGGGAGGCCAATTTGCTCCACCATGATCTTCTGGTGCCTAGTTAAAAATAGCACAGATTTCAATACAGGTTGAAACTCTCTAGTGTGGCAACTTTGGGAACTGACCATGGCTGAACCAAGGGAGGTCAGTATTATCTAGCACAGGGGCGGGGCACCTCAGGCTTGCCTAGATTCAGCCCCAGAAGTGCAGCATTGGGGTGCCCATGTTGGTGCCCCAGCCCCGCCTGCCACCCACCTGCTGGAACATACGAAATCTACTAGCCTGGTTTTCCTAGACTCTGGTTTGTGATGGGAATACAGGGAATGTCTTTCTCCTTTTCACTTGTGTGCAGCCCCTGAATGATTTTTCTGTGGGTCAGCGGCCCCTGACCCAAAAAAGGTTCCCCACCCCTGATCTAGCAGCATTTCCAACACGTCCACGGCTTACTGGGCTCTTAGAAGACATTTGGGGGTAAATTAGAGCTAAACAACAGCACAGAACACAGAGAGCCAGGACTGGTGGCTGTAAACAAACTTTACGGAACCACAGGAAACTTATGCACACCCTTGATAAGCAGACATCCAGCTAACTAAAATCATGCCGGACCATGGTTGTTGCCGGACTAGAGCAGTTCAACCTGTATTTGCAAACACACTGTGCCATGCTGTCTTTTGGTTACCCTGTGCGCTAGCCCTGACTGATAGAGCACAAAAGGTTCCTACCAGTGTCTGTGCCAGATGTTTAAGTGCTCACGCCTCTTCGTTTATCCCAGCATAACAGTAGCTCTACTTTAGACAGGCAATGCTCTGAGAAGCAAAACCCCTCAGTGACTGAATGTCCCTGGGGCTTGGGGTGAGTCTCAGAATCTCCGTTCCATCCCATCCCAGTCCGAGTTATCCCAGCTGAAGCGTGACACCTGTGAAAGACATGCTTAGGGAAGGCCTTCACAAACCTGCCTCACTGTCTTTTAAATTGTACAAGAGCCTCTCTACCATCTTTGCCTCCTTATATGGTGATCTCCGAATCACGGCCAGGTTACCTTGTCCATGCCTGAGTGCCTGCCAGGGCCAGTGTTGGGTGTACCAGCCCCACAAATACCACATGTAAAGACAACATGGGCCATCCAGCTCCTAGAATGACAGAGAAGGATCACTCTGCTTTAATGGCACCACTGGCAGTACTCCCAGCCCTCGCTCCCATAAGGCAAAGCAACCTGGGTCGGGTGCAGAGCCTAGAGGGAGCGCTGGTCCGTATCACAGAGTAAGCACTGCGCACTGGCACTGACATGAGAACATCAAAGTAGAGCAAGAAATCTCTGTGTGCTTGGGCCATCCCATGGAGGGCAGGGGGCTGAGGCAACTCCCATCCCCCAGGCCTCATGGAAGCAATGGGCATTTTGCTGCCAATCTCCAGAGGCCGAGTTGCCTGTTATTTTATTTCCTTCCCTTCCTACACCAGCTGAGTTCCATCCTCCTGCTCACAGGGCTGGCAGTTTCCCGGGTAAAACTATTTTAGGGCAGGCTGCTGGCTCTATGGCTTTAAATCCCGGATAACCTGGGAAAGTGGAGAAAATAAAGTTATGATTTAAATAGTCCACTGAAAATGACTGACAAATGATGAGCAATGTGTTACTAGTTTGTTGCTTGACTGTGTTTCCTTTCATTTCAATGCAACAGACAAGATTACTGCAAAAAACAAAAGTTGCCTTTGCATCCTTTAACATGAACCTTCTGAGGCTGGAAATTCCCCTGTTTCCTTTAAAGGATAAGAAATTACACTGGGTGCGTTGATGAAACATTCTGTAGATTTACAAAAGTATTTTCATATTCACCATCAGCCTGGTTAAAAGACTGACACGTTCTATAAACTCCCCTACCTGCACCCCTGGTAGCACACAATGAAACAGTCAAGCAACATGCGTGGAAGCATATATTCAAATGTTTGTCACATTAGCTCAGGGTTATGAACGATCATGAGACAGACCTTAAAGATAGAGTGGTCAGTATAATTATTACTCAAGGGATTTATCAAGAAGCAAATAACTTGTCCAGTCAATTTAATTCATTTTCTGTGACACTTGACGCACTCTACAAAGGCCGGTTGGTGCGTGAGACGGATGGTTGGATCTACTGATAAATGGAAGACTTTTTGTGCCATATAAAGCAAAAATATAAAAATGATTCCATGAGGCAATTACAAATGTTGGCCAACCTCCTTCATTCAACCCACACAGGAAAGAAATACGTCATTGGAACAAGAAGTAACTGCTCAGCAAAAATCCCGGCTTTTCTGCCATGTTTACTTGCATTTGAAGCAGAAGACTCACCGTTGCCAAAAAGCAACGTTTTTGTCCACTGTCATTCTGCTGGAGCATGGTGGAAAACCTGCAGACCGCCGTGATGCCATCTGACATCAGAGAACGGGGTGGGATGTTCAGCATCAATGTCCAGCAAGTTCAGCAAGCCTCGAATAAACCTTTTCAAACTTTGAAGACATCCATTCGGGGTTATTTGACCCATGACAAAGTTGGTCTGCGCCAGCATGCTGCATGGCCAACCAGACCTGGATAGGTAGACCGCAACCCTGAATGCTTCCAATTGCTTAACACATCAGGGCTCCAACTCTGCATTACTGGCACTGAATGTTTTAGGAGTTATGGACATGAGTGATCCTTGAGAAAACACCAAAGCCAATTGTATACAGGCCTCCTGACACTGACTGTGATATTTATGTATATTAGTATGCTCACAGCAATTTCACTTTTTTATTTCTGCAAGTTTAAATTGCTCTCCTAATCTGCTGCCTCATTTGAATATGTAATGCAATTTGAATATATAACTAAAACTGCGGGTTGCGTGTGATAAAACAACTTTTAACATGGAAAATGCCATAAACTGGGTCTAACTAATTTTAATCTGGGTGACAAAAAAACATGATTTTACCTGACAAAAACCCACTCTGGTAAATACCATGCTATTCCTCCCTGCTAGGTTTGGTTTTATAAACTCTTTGGGTAAGGGGATTTTATTTTCTATATGCACAACAGCTAGAACCATGGTCTCTAAGCAAGACTTCAGTATAAATAACTAGAAGATTTAGCTGGCATTGCTAGATTCAGCAGTGTCCCCATACAGATTAGGAGGGGGGTGGAGCTTCAGACCCCCTCCCCAGACTTCCTTGAAGGACCTGGGGTTCAGTATGCAGTCTGCCCTGGTCAGAGAGGACTACCCCAATCCTCACTCACCACAGCCTGTTGCAGCTGCAACAGAGCCCTTGCTCCCCCCTGTGGTCATTATACAGTATAACTCTCCCTGCCAGCAGAAGCCTCCCTTTCTGTGTTATGAGAAACAATCACATTCCAGGCACATCCCATTGTCCTGACACAAACTCTGGCCTTGCTTTAAGTCATGATAAGAGGAAGCTGAATACCAAATTTAGTGGAGGAGTTCTCGAACAAACACGTGGGCAGATTCATTCACTCCCTCACGTACAGACAACCTCTCAAATATATACAGAAGATAATGACCTGCACGAAAGGTTCGGTTTTTGTTTTGTTAAAGTTCTTCCGCCACAGGCAATGCTCTTGAAGTATAGCATTAGCCCAATCAATAAATAGGAACATGTTACATTAGCAAAGAAATGGCTATTTAGGGTACAAGGTCCTTCAGAAGTGGAAAGAGACAGAACTCAGCTGCAAGAAGGCTTGCAAAAAGGGCATCGTTTGTTTGTTTTGTTTGTCTGGAGTCTTTTGGCCCCCACGCAGACCCTGAGGTTCTTTCTGATAGGCTCTGCAGGCTAACACTGGGCAGCACAAACTGTGTTAGCCAAAGTCTTGGCTTCAACTCAGCCATCTTGGAAGGGCTGGGTGATTACAATACACGTGGGAATCTGGAGAATACAACGGGTGAAATTCAGCCCAGAGATGCCAGGCAGGCTTTCCGTCCAGTCTGTGAGGGGTGCTTACAGAAGATAGGTCTCTGTACTGGTCCATGCATGGCCTGCCTAGGAGGTCACGGGGGGATGGACTGGGGAGGTCATGGAACAGGGTGGATTGCTGCAATGTTCTTTGGTCCAATATAAGTTACATTAAACACAGCACCTTGCACCTGATTCGCCCACCCCTGGCATTGCTGGCCCTTAGGCATAAATCCAAGGATGTCAACGGATCTACATCAGTTTACTGTGAGGGGTAGCAGGCCCAAGCTGACTGATCTGGGTCCAGACTCCTCAAGAGCTAAATAGCCTTGAACTTGGCTTTGAACTGAGCTTGGATCTAAACTTTCCACCCAGCCCAACACTTTTGAGTTGAACCAAATCCTGCTCTGCCTATCCTTGGGCAGGCTTGGTTCTGAATCCAAACTTTGGGGACCCGTTCTGACCTCATCATATGTTCACTCCTGGAGAAGCCAAGCAGCTAACTGCATTTCCTTCAATCTCTGAATGACTGAAGCTGTACCGAGGGGAAACATAGAGCCTAATGGACAGTCTATTGTCTCTGTTATCTGCCAGCTCCGGGCTGGGGTTAGGATGAGGAGAGATTAATTTGTTTCCTTCAATTAGTGTCTGAATTCATTGTAAATCAAAGCCAAACCAGCTGAGAAGCGTCTGCAGCCCCGTCTTTCAGCCAAAGTATCCCCACAGAAAGACGTTAATAGCTAGCAGGATTATAGCATTAACGTTGCAAACCGTCCTTGAAAGGGGCCTCTCCGTAATGTTAGTAAGTTTCCTTTCCAGGACTGCTTTCTCTTCCTTGGTCAGTGAGGGTCCTGGGTTGGTGGAGATGCCACAGAACCAGAAGTACATCTTCTTCCAGCATGGCGGGCTTGCTGCTGCAGGAAATCCATACCAAGAGGCAGAATGAGTCCCATATTCTAAACGCTGAGATAGTCCACTCCCCTCCCCGTTGTCCCATGCCCTCAATGCACCGGGTCACCTCTCTGAACATCGCCTATGCAGCACTGTTGCTTGAGGCGCATGGGGTGAACACCAACCACACTGAGCTACATCCTCAATGGAAGGGAACGCTTCACCATCTCAGCCAGGTCCAGGAACCAGTGGCTTGAAGCTCAGAAGGGCTCTGAGCAGGGGGTGTGCCCTCTCACTTTGTACTGGCTGTCAGTGCGAGCAACAGGGAGACGGGGCAGAGAGGAGTGAATGGGAGGGCCGGGGTTTTGGGGAAAGAGGAGCTTATGTTGGAAAGGGTGGTGCTAGGGGAGGGGCCTTGGAAGGGAAAGGAGAGCATGAGCGTGAGGCCTCAGAGGAAGGGATGGTACGAGGGTGGGGCCTCAAAGAGAGGGGCAGTGCAAGAGTGGGTCCTATGGGGACTGGTATAAGGAGGTAGAGCCAATGTTTGGGTGCTCATGCTCCCCCCCCTCCTTTTAGGGTGCATTTACACTGCACCGTTATTTCGAGATAGCTTTATTTCAAAATAACAATCCAAGCATCTACACAGCCATTCCGTTATTTTGAAATAATTTTGAAATAATGGAGGGCTTATTCTGAAAACTGTAAACCTCATCCGACAAGGAATAATGCCTATTCCAAAATAGCTTATTTCAAAATAGCAGCAGTGGAGCATCTACACACGCCTTATTTCGAAATAGCTATTTCAGAACTATTCCGGAATCGCTTATTTTGAAATAACTGTGCAGTGCAGACGTACCCTCAGGGACTTTCCATTCCTAAGCGCTTCATTAAAAGGATTCACCCCAACCAGCATTCATAGTCTAGAACTGATCATGACTGTGTGGTTAAAAAGCAGCTGTCTTCTAAGAGCACAGAGCCAAGTCTTCACCTTCTTGCCAGGGCTGCAGAGGAAGCGAATGGGTAGGCTGGTCAAACAGCACTGCCCAGGCCAAACTCACAGCACAACTTAAACCAGCTGAAAGCACCTTTAACGAGCATGCTACATTCATAGCAATGTGCCAAGTGCTGGGCAAACGTTAGCTCGTCCTTGCCACTTGTTGGAGGTGGCCAAGTGAGTATAGCGGTATACAGAAATGGAGATGCACAGCGGTCAGGTGATTTGCAGAACGGCTACTGATATTTTGCACCTCCGTGTTTGGATGCATCACGCGAGCCATTTTCAGAAGTTCCCCATGCCTCTTATCTCCCAGGGAAGTGGACCAGATGCATGGGGTGAACACAGCCACTCAGCCTCTGCTACAATCGGACATAAAGAGTCTTACCGTGAGTCCCCAAAACCAGTGGCCCCTTTGGAAAACAGTTACCCTAAATCAGTGGATTAGGATTGAGATGGTCTTGAACCCCAGTCCTGCGTGCAGTCCACACATCCAGCCTGCTTACTTTGCTTCCTCAGTCTTAAAGAGTAACCCTAGGAAAATCTGTCCTTCAATGAGATTAAATGAGTCCAGTCATTTGACATAAGCAGTGAGGAGTCCTGTGTCACCTTATAGCCTAACCGAAGTGTTGGAGCATAAGCTTTCGTGGGCACAGACCCACTTCATCAGATGCATGTAGTGGAAATTTCCAGAGGCAGGTATAAATATGCAGGCCAGAATTAGGCTAGAGATGACGAGGTGCACCTCCAGATCAGCTTCTAGAAGTGGGTCTCATCCTCTGTGATTGGATCCACCTCATCATCTCTAGCCTGATTCTGGCCTGCATAGTTATACCTGCCTCTGGAAATTTCCACTACATGCATCTGATGAAGTGGGTCTGTGCCCACGAAAGCTTATGCTCCAACACTTCGGTTAGTCTGAATCTGCAAAAGTGGCGAGGAGTCCTGTGGCACCTTATAGACTAACAGGGCTACCCCTCTGCTACTCGATAGTCATTTGACATGTGGTCCTAATGGGCAAGGCATTGGCCTCCTAAAGCAGGAAGCATAATGGACAGTGTTTCGGTAGGGTAGTGGTTATCGTGTTTGCTTAATACGCAGAAGGTCCCTGGTCCAAAACCACTTCAGACACACAACATCTTCTCTTAAGACAAGAAGCAATGGGCTTAAATTGCAGTGAGGGGGAGGTTTAGGTTGGGTATTAGGGAAAACTTCCTGTCAGGGTGGTTAAGCACTGGCATAAATTGCGCAGGGAAGTTGTGGAATCACCACCACAGGAAATAGTTAAGAGCAGTTAAGATGTCTATCAGGGATGATCTAGATGGTGCTTGGTCCTTCTGTGAGGACAAGGGCCTGGACTTCATGCCCTCTCAAGGTTGCTTCCAGTTCTACAATGCTATAAAGCAGTTGTTGTGTAAGGAATAATGACCCTTCTTAGTTCTCCCCTGACCAACTTCCACCAACCTCCACAAAACTTGTAGCGTTTCATGGTCTCCAACACAGAACTCATGCCTTGTTTATCATGAAAGAAGCACTGGGTTTAATTATACCTTTTAACCGTCACTTGCTGTTCTTTCCAAATATAATCCGCTTTGAAAGGTAGCATGTCATAAAAGCTTGAAAAGCATGTTACCAAACCTCATTAAATTGTTGTATAAGCTGTTCTGCATTTCCTTTCCCGTCACTGCTAATTACCGAATTACCAAGATGTCAGGCTATAAAAAGATGCGCTGGGTCAGGTATAATAAGAATCGATAAGACACGACAGCATCATCCGGAACAGCTACACTATGCTTGAATCCAAACTTTCTCCATTTCCAAGACATGGAGGTGAACTTTTCTTATGGTGTCTCACTTCTCATTCTGATGAGAACTAGTTCAAGCATGGCCCATCTACACTTAAGGAAATGTAGAAAATCTCACGAGAGCGGGCTCAGTTTGGAAGATCTCCAGTTTTGAGGACTCAAGGGCATTAAGTTTAAAACATGCACCTGATACTCTGGATGGCTTTCCAAAGGAAGTCTCTCAGCACACCAAGAAAGGGCAGGGTGCTGTTTTCTTTCTAATAAACAAATAATTAGAAGTGTGCTCATAGAATTTGCTGATGCATAGTTGGGAGGCGTCACCGCAGAAAAGAGTTGGAATATTAGACAGGAACATCTAGATCACCTTGAAGATTTAAGTAACAGAAATGGGCTGAAATTCAGTAGTACAAAGTGCAAAGTTATGCATTTAGGGGCTAATAAGAATCTCTGTTATAAATGGGGACTTAGTTGGAACAGAGAAAGGCGAAGGGAGACTTGGGTATGGAGGGTGGCAGGAACAGGCGATTAAAACCATTTTCTGGATGTTCACTGAAGTTTTTTCTCAGTGATTGTTAACTCTTTTAGGCCTAACGCTAAGGCTATGTCTACACTGTCAGGTTCTTGCGCAAGAACAGCCATTCTTCTGCAGAGCGTCCACACTGCCTGCCCGCTCTCGCGCAAGAAGATTTATAGTAAAGCGTGATAAGACAGGGCTTCTTGCACAAGAGCTATGCTCTTGTCTAACAAGTGTAAGCTCTCTTGTGCAAGAGATCTTGTGCAAGAGGGCAGGGTGGATGCGTGGCAGGGGTTTCTTGCGCGAGAAAGCCCTATGACTAAAATGGCCATCAGAGCTTTCTTGCGCAAGAGAGCGTCCACACTGCCATGGATGCTCTTGTGCAAAAGCACATGGCAGTGTGGATGTGTTCTTGCACAAGAGTTCTTGCACAAGAACCCTTGCGCAAGATGTTCTTGTGCAAGAACCTGCCAGTGTCAACATAGCCCAGGTGCCCTACCTGTGAGCATTAAAACCATAGAGGATGGGCCCTAGAGAGTCCCCAGGAATGCTAATAAAGCAGGAAGTGAGTTGGCAAGAGGCCAAGAGTGCCCATGGAAACAGAATATGGGCTTTGCATTGGGAGCAGCAGCTTTCCTGTCCCTGTTGTGTGCCCAGAGGAGAGCCTGAAAGGAGCTAGGCATGGCTAATCCAGCAATAGCCATGCCTAGGGAAGGACTAAGTCTTGAAGCTACAGATCTGTTAACTATACGGGGGGCCGAGGGGTAGCTCTGTGGTTTGAGCATTGGCCTGCTAAACCCAGGGTTGGGAGTTCAATCTTTGCAGATGCCGTTTGGGGCAAAAATTTGTCAGGGATGGTACTTGGTCCTGCTGTGAAGGCAGGGGACCAGACTTGATGACCTTTCAAGGTCCCTCCCAGTTCTAGGAGACAGGCAATCTCCATTGTCAAGTATAGACATAGACTAAGAGTCACCTGGCCAAAGGACTCAGCTTGGGGCTTTCAGCACCCTTGGGGAGCAGTGGTGCCTGCTTGGTGCACAGCCCCAGTGACTCCTCTCCTTGCACCATGAGCTAGCCCCTCTCTGCACAGGGCCCCTATTCCCCTCTGCCTGCACACTGGGCTACTCCTCCTGCCTGGACACAGCTTCTGCACCTGCACAGCTCACACTTAGACTCCAGGGCTATGTCTACACTTGTGTCTTCTTGTGTGAGGAATATGCATATGAGGAATATGCAAATGAGGCTAAGCGTTGAATATCACTGAGCCTCATTTGCATAACTAATGAGCTGCCATTTTTGCAGAAGAGGTTCTTGCGCAAGACAGAGCTGTCTACACGGCCCCTTCTTGCGCAAGAAAAACCCTCTTACGCAATGCTGTTACACCTATTACTTGAGAGGAAGAACGGCGTTGCGCAAGAGGGTTTTTCTTGCGCCAGAAGGGGCAGTGTAGACAGCTCCGTCTTGTGCAAGAACTTCTTCTGCAAAAATGGCGGCTCATTAGTTATGCAAATGAGGCTCAGTGATATTCAACGCTTAGCCTCGTTTGCATAATACTCACGCAAGAAGATGCGAGTGTAGATAAAACCTAGCTACCTGCACCCTGAACAGTTTTCACTTTTTGAGCCTCCCTACTCTGAGTTATAATTTTTGGTTGAGCGCTCCCCCCTTCATCCTCCCCCGCCCTGCCCCGCCCCTGACCCAGATGGGTTGGGTGCCCTGCTCAGATGTGTCAGGGAGCGGCGGGGGCATTCCCTCCCTGGGCGTTGCTGTATGTAGCTGGGCCTCAGGCCCCAAGAGATGTCAAACCATGCTTGTACCCAAGCATCCCCAACCGTTGCCTGGAGCTCCACATCTTCCCCTACAGAGCCCTGGCGTTCTTCTAGCATGTTGCAGGGGCTTCAGAGATAAAAAGAGACCTCCCCCCGCCCCGGGCTAGCTAATACTTAGTCCTGTCCCTATGCAGGGGACTGTATTAGCTGACTTATCAAAGGCCCACATTTCTGTGGGTTCTCTGCTAAGGGACAATGTTGGCACAAGAACAAATGGATATAAACCAGCCATGAACAAATTGCAGCTGGGAAATAGAAGGCGGTTTCTAACCACCAGAGGAGTGATGACCGGGAACAGCCTCCCCACAGGAGTTGGGGTGGTGGTGGTGGGAACTGAATTGATTTTAATAACGAGTGAGTGAGAACTGGAAGCATTTATGAGTGTGATTGTGGGTGGGGTGGGGGGTTTTGCATGAAGGTGTGGGGGCAGGGCTCAGCAGCCCTAGGGGTTCACTTCCAGTTTATGTCATACGTTCCTAAAGCTCATGCTTCCTGGCTTCAACTGGTCACCGGCAGGGGTCAGGAAGGAATCCCCCCCGCACACACGCACGTAATGGCCTTTTGTCACCATCCTTTGAAGCACCAGAGATAGCTACCGCTGGCGGACGCACCCTGGACAAGCTAAACTGGTGCTCTGAGGCGGTGGGGAGAGGGAAGGGGAGACAGAGCATTTTCTCATACTTAGGCACTTGGCTGGCTGGTTCTTATTCACATGTGAACTGCACCATTGTATGTGGCGTTGAGACAGAAACCCCCCACCCAGTTACCGTCAGAGTATGCTGCCTGCCTTTCCTGGTGTACCTGGGTATAACCAGGGCCAGATTACCATCTGCTGAAACCCTGCACCTCCACCCTGCTTCCCAGACGCCTCCTCCCATACTCTGTACCCCCCATTTTTGGCCTCACCCTGGAGCCTAATGAGTCCAGCACAGTTAAAGTGCAGGAGCAGGCTTGAGAGCGGGATGGTAGTGCGAGGTCTGGGTGGGAGGTAGGGTGCAAGAGTGGGCTGGGATTGCAGGGTCCAGGTGGGAGGTAATCAGGCTGGGGGTGTGGGTGGGAGGTCTGGGTGGGAGGTAGGGTACAGGAGTGGGCTGGGATGCGGGTGGGAGGTCGGGGTGGGAGGTAGGTGCAGGAGTGGGCTGGGATGCGGGTGGGAGGTCAGGGTGGGAAGCAGGGTGCAGGAGTGGGCTGGGATGTAAGTGGGAGATAGAGTACAGGAGCAGGGTGGCAATGCAGGTCTGGGAGGGAGAGAGGAGGTGGGAGGGGGCAAGGAATTGGGGCTCTTACCTGGTGCTGCTGTAGGGAGGGCTCTACATGGCCCTGTGCTTGCCGGCACCACATCCCCCCGCTCCCATTGGCTGCAGTTCCAGGCCAATAGGTGCTGCAGAGCTAGCTCTTGGTGTGGGAGGCAGCACATAGAGTCCCACTGGTGAAGCCTTTGCATAGGAGCTGAGGGGGGGAGCAGCAGGCTGGATCCTGCAAGCAAGCGTTGCTAGCGGCGATGTACGCAGCTCCAGTGGGGAGGGAAAGGGAGGAACAGCAGCACGCAGAGCCACTACCCCCTCCAGGCAGAGTCACAGCACGCAGGGGCTTTAGTGGCTGCATTCCAGCGCCCCAGACTAAAGGGGGCTCCCTTCGCCTGGGGTCCTGGGCTGCAGCTCCTAAAGCTACTTTCATAATCCAACCTTATATCTCCCATGGGGGGGAGGGGACACTTCTGCATGGATGCATCTCAGCCCCTCCGAGTCTCTGCCTGTGGCACAGGACAGTCTAGTGTCCCAACGGCTGTCAGACTTCAGTTGGGGTTTCGAGGGTGAGGGTTGGTGGTCTCTGAAATATTGAAGGTCAGACTCCAGGCCCTGGTGGTCCCTTCTGGGCTGAAACTCTCCCCTGCTAACCTGCTTCCTGCTACCTCTTTAGCTCATCTGTACAGCCTCCCTGTGGTCACTGGCGCTTATGCCTGCCACAGGGGTCTCTGGGCAACTCAGCTCCACGCAGTGCTTTTCATCTGGAGCGCTCAAGGTACATTATGTAGGGAGAAAGCCTCAACCCCATTTTATAGTAAGGGAAACTGAGGCACAGAGACTTGTGCACGGTCACAGCGCAGTCAGTGGCAGAGAACCCAGGTCCCCCAGATCCAGTGCTCTAGCCACTGGGTGACGCTGCCATCTTGACACGGTTGCATCCCTGACTAAGTTAGGCTACTAGGGCAGGCTAGGGCGTTCGGAGAAAGCGACTCTAGCAGAAGCTGACAAGCAGCAGCGATGGGGCAGGAAGTGCAGCTGATGCATGTGGAATTGGAAAGGCAGCCGAGGACAAGTTTGTCTGTGACTGCTGTGCTTCATACGATTTGAATGCTAAAAATTAGCAGCGTCTCATTTACATATTTCATGTGCCTAAGGATGCCGGCAGGTAGCACTATGGAGGCTGTTTCCCCCAAGCCTTTAAAATAGATGGGTGTAATTAGCCCGCCACCTCTCTCTAGCTGCCTGAAAAGCTCCTTGCAGAATTATTGTGATGCCATACCCACCCTGGCAGGAAGCATCCCTGAGAATCAGGCCTATTAACACCTCCACAAATTGCCTAAAATAGCCTGTCTCCATCTAAAAATGTCTTGGCTTTAAAGTCCTTATCAGAGGCCCCCTAGGGCTTAAAAGCAGGTGCATCATTGGTCTAACGCACTGCTTCTCTGGCCCCAGCTGGCTTGGCAGATGTAGGCAGTTAAAGGCAGGATACTTTTAAAATTCTTTTGCTGATACCGGGCTGAGCCCGGCTCATCCTGGCTCGGAGGCCTGGGCAATGTGGAAGAAAGGAATTCAGAGGGAGGAGGGAACATTTCTGGGGAAGGTTGTTTTGATTGTAACTGGAAGTTCTCTGGAACTACACAGAGGCCTGGAATGTTAGAATACACCCGTGGGAGAAGGGGGAACAGGCAGAGTGCAGGTGTGGTGGGCAAAGGTAAATGAACTGAGTACGTCTCTCTCACGTCCCCGAATGTGGCATGGTTAGATCCATGGCCCTGATGCTACTGAGGTCACTGAAAGGATGCCAGTGGGATTCGAACACGGTCCCTACGCCCATGCACATGGTAGACATCCACCTATGTGGCCGCCCCAGCTAACCTACCGTCATGGTCTTTGTTCCCTGAATCTGCGTTCTCTTCCGTCGGCTCCTCTGCATCACTCTCGCCCGTTGATGGGTTGACCTCCGCCAACTCGTTCTTGTCCTTCTCCAGGTCAGTCGTGGGAGCGCTGCTGTGTCGAGTCCACCAGGTCAGGCTGGCCAGCTGGAGGCAGCGATGCAAAGAAAGATGGGGAAAAGCAATTGAAACAGCTGTCAGCTCACAGTCCTGGGCCAGCGTAGGCTGGAAATGGGAGCTGTGAATCATAGACTACTAGAACTGGAAGGGATCTCGAGAGATGCCCTGCCCTCACAGTAGGACAAAGCACCATCTAGATCACCCTGACAGGTGTCTGTCTAACCTGCTCTTAAATATTTCCAATTATGGAGATTCCACAACCTCCTTAGGCAACTTATTCCAGTGTTTCACCACCCTGACAGTTAGGAATTCCCTTCCAGCATGATTGTGAACCTACTTTCTGAGAATGGTTATCCAGCCAGTTATGCACCCACCTTATAGTAGCCCCATCTAGGGTGTAGTTGCCTAGTTTATTCATAAGAAGGCTATGCAAGACCATGTCAAATGCCTTACTAAAGCATAGGTATACCATGTCCACCCTTATCCACAAGACTTGTTATCCTATGAAAGAATCCTTTCAGATTGGTTTGACATGATTTTTTCTTTACAAATCCGTGCTGGCTGTTCCCTATCACCTTATTATCTGCCAGATGTTTGCAGATGATTTCCTTAATTACTTGCTCCATTATCTTCCCTGGCACAGAAGTTAAACTGACTGCTCTGTAGTTTTCTGGGTTGTTCTTATTTCCCTTTTTATAGATAGGCACTAGATTTGCCCTTTTCCGGTCTTCTGGAATCTCCCCTGTCTGCCATGATTTTTCAAAGATCATAGCTAAAGGCTCAGACACCTTCTCTATCAGCTCTGTGAGTATTCTAGGATGCATTTCATCAGGTCTTGGGGACTTGCAGACATTTAGCTTTTCTAACTTTTAACTTGTTCTTTTTTGGTATTTTAACTTCCAAACGTACCCCATTCCCACCAGGGGTGTGTCTAGATTACATGGTTTTGTCAACAAAAATGGACTTTTGTCGACAAAACTATACCTGCGTCTACACTACCGCTGAGTTCTGGCTACATAACGTCGACGGAACTCGGCAGTTTTGTCGACGGCGGTAAACCTCATTCTACGAGGAATATGGCGTAGGAATATGCATCTATACCCTCCTTTGCGTCTACACTCTCATGTCGACAAAGCGGCTTGCTTTGTCGACAGAACTGGCTGTGGTCTAGATGCTCGTTGTTGATAGAAGCTTTGTCGACAGTAACTGTCGACAAAAACCTGTAGTCTAGATGTACCCTAGCATTCATTATGTTAGAAAAAAAAAACCAAACAACACAGTTTTTATGAGGTGAAACCCTCTCCATTTTAATCAGAGAAGATGGATGGTGACAGGATGCCTAATAGTTCTTCTGTGTTCAGTTGGCTTGTACCATTTTAGTCCTTAGGAGACTACCTGAGGCCACTAGTGCCTGCAGGGGGAGGGGGTGCAGGGAGGGCCACCCAGAGGGGCCGGGAGGGGGCACCCCATTTAGGAACTGACATTTTTGGCAGGAAGACCGGGGCGGTGTATGACCTATGTGCTCCCAGGAGTCCCCTTTGAGACCAACACACTTCTCTGTGTGAAGGCCTCTCTCTTTGGCAGGATCTGTACTGGTTGAGATCTGGATGGGGAGCCCAAAAGATTCATGTGTGGAAGTTGCAGGCAGGGCCATTAGGCTTGGTGGTCATCTAGCGTGCCCCCTGCACACATGCTTTGTCTGGAAATGGGCGACGGGGGAGGGATCACATGGGGATTCTGTTCTGTTCCCTCCCTCTGGGGCATCTGACATTGGCCACTGTGGGCAGACAGGACACTGGGCTGGACAGACCTTTGGCCTGACCCAGTGTGGCCGTTCGTATGTGCTTATGCTCCTTTTCCCCCAACATAGGGTCCAGTGAAAGCCAGGGAAATATTCAGCTTTAATGAATTAAGTTGCTGATTTCCGCCGCACCCTGGCAACCTGCCGAACCACAGCCAGCATCGCAGGTCATTAACTCCTGGGCGCGGCAAGCATCCAGGGTGATGACACAAGCAGCTGGGTCTCCAGGGAGACGCAACGGGACAACGGCCACATTCAGAAGGTCGGCCCGGCCAGACCGGGAGGGCATTTTGCAGTGAAACCCCATCAGAGGAACCCCGCTCAGACACAAGGCACAACCGCCCAGCAGTTCAAGGTTAGAGCAAAGAAACAACCACGAGAAGGAACAACAACGGGACAGGGCAAGGCAGAGGCTGGACCTTCCACCACACCAAGGCGGACCTGGTCATTCAGAGTTAGATGGCTCCCGCCCTTATTTGGGCACATGGGAGAAAGAGAGAATGTCCCTCAGCTCCGTGGTATGGATTGTGACTCCAGCCATGATGTGCCCTGCTGTGAGGAGGGTGGAGGGAGAGGGGCTAGGAGTGGGGGACTTACCAACTTACGAACCGGTTACGGACCAAGCAATTGGTCGTAACTCGGTTCGTTCGTAAGGCGGACCCCCTTTAGTTACACGCAACCGTGCTGTTCATAAGCGCAGATCGCGTTCGTAACTCAGGGTCCGCCATTTATGGCAGCTTTGGTCGTAACTGCGAATGGTCGTAAGTTGACCGTTCGCAACTCGAGGACTGGCTGTATTCTTCAGGGGAAAGCACTGCAGAGAATGCATGTTAAAACCAATACAGGAACCTACAGGCCTTCTCCAAAACTCATCAGAGATCGGCTTCCCCACGCCAACCTCCAGCGGGTGTCCGTGTTTCCAACCCTTCCTTGGGGTTCCCTACCCTGGGATGGAAGGTCCTGTCTGTTTGATGGATAAGGAGCAGGTCTTAGCGGGTGGGGAACCTAAGGCCTGGGGGCTTGATTCTGGCCTCAGGTTTGCCTGGATCTGACCCCCAAGGCTTGGGGTTTTCCCCCCAAGCATTGGTGTGCCATCCCCCTCCGCCATGCAGCTGAGCGTGAAGCACCAATGCTGGCTCCCTGCCATGGGGGGAGGAAGCCCAAGCCTTGCGGGCTGGAATCAGGCAAGCCAGAGCCGGGACTGACCCATAGGCTCTGTCTGGCAGGGGGACAAAGTGACTCACGCCCTGCCACTCCCCTGGCTGGCACAGCTAAGCGCTGCCTGGCGGCTTTTCCCCAACAAAATCTACTAGCCCGCACCCCCCAGGTGCTGGTGTGTGAGGGGAACAAGAGGGAAGCCGAACGTCTGTCTCCTGCTCAGTCGCAGACCATGTCCGTGAGGTGGGTTTTTTACTTTTGGCTTTTTTCCCCCTCACTTTTGTGCACCCCCTCCCCAACTGATTTTTCTGTGGGTCAGCAGCCCCTGACTCAGAAAAGCTTCCTTACCCCTTAAACGCTGGGGATGTAGCCACAAGTCTCTACTCTGTCGGCCTCTGGAGAATCCGGTTTGAAGGAGGAGAGCTGAGCCTCCGCAAAAGGAGATATCTCTCTGGAGGCGATGCAGTCTGAGAGAATTTGTCTCATTGCCTTCCCTCCTCACCCTTCCCCACACACTGGGCTTAGTGCTTGCAGGGGCTGTGGTCACCCTCCCCGAATGGATTTATATACAGTCCCTGCCCTGCAATGAAACACAGACATAACATAGTCCGATCGCCCTCAGAGAGTGCAGGAAATGGCCATTTCTGTTACACTAGCCTTCAGAAAAAAGTGAGCAGCAAGGCAGGGACGGGGACCTGGCTCTATACAGTCCACTTGGCCATTCCCCAGCAAAAAGACGGCAGTGTTGGCGTCACAGAGAACGCTACAGCTGTCCTTTGACAGGCTGGGGTGGAGGAGGCGTCTCCTCCCTACCCCTCTGTAGCCCGTGCCAGGCCTAGCCTGCATGTTCAGGGATTCAAGGCACCCTCGCGGTCTGTGCTGGTCTGGAAACGGGCTGGGAATCAGCTGCAGAGGAAGAAAAAAAAATCCGCAACCTCATAACTTTTACAGCACAGCACAGTCAGTTTGTGCACTGACTTGGCACAAACAAAAGAGACATTCAGCAGCGCAGTCTCTTGCGTTCAGGGGAGCCAGCCGATCTGTCTGCACACGCCTCCTTTTTATTAAAAGCCGGGAGGTGTCACATTCACACCGTAGGACGTGCCAGTTTCCATTTCTCAACGGCTTTTGCAGGCCTGGGAGGCCGTCTCCTGCCTCCGCAAGGAGCAGAAGCAGCTGCTGTCGTCAGAAACGAGCGCTCTCTTTCACGCATCCTTCCCGAGGACCCAGCAATCCCAGGATGGGCCAAAACACTCAGCTGGTCGCAAGCAGGGTTGCCAGATGGTTTCCCACAAAAAACCGGACACGTGGTATTTTTTTGGTCGAGCAAAAAAAAAGGAATGCGGGCTAAAAAGCCCCCCCGTTCTGGGGCACCTAGAGCAGCAATCGTGGCCCCGCCTCCCAACTGGGGTGGGGTGGGAGGAGTGGCAGTACAATCACATGCTCCTAGCGCTGATCGTGGCCCCGCCTTCCAGCCGCTCCCCCCGCCCACGCCAGGCTTCCGTCCGGTGCGCAGCCGGAAAAATCAGAGAATCTCTGACTTTGTACATGTCCAGTATTCTCTGATTTTTTTTACCGGACAAAGAGCACGAATATCGGACTGTCTGGTAGAATAGCAGACACCTGGCAACCCTAAGAGATGTGCAACCAAGCTCACATGTAAATGCTGGACAGAACCAGTCTGGATTTTCCGGAGACATGCACAGTGTGGACCTGGAACCGAGCTAGGATTTTAATTGACCTGGGTCCGGAACTAGTCACACCCCTTGGTTTATACTCATCCCCTACTCTGCCCGGGAGGAGGTGGAAAGCGTCGGTTCTTGTGCAACCCACCGTGACCAGTGGGGGCCTATCGTCACTGTTCGCTTTGTTGTGCTGTATGTGATTCATATTGGACCGGTGCTGCTCTGTAGTGATTCTGTGTGTGTGTAGTGCCCAGCAGGGGATGGGATCTTTGGGGGAGAACTCCTGAGGGACGGCACGTAGGGAATGGCCCTGCTGTCCTGTCCCCTGATCCTAGGGGCAAGATGCAACCAGTGACAGTAGCTAACACCTTGCCCAGGAATCT